TGGTTTTTTCTGATTTTTCTACAGGAAGCATGTATTAATTTAATTTTTGAAAAACAGATGTTTTATTAAAAATATAAACTAGGAGAGAACAGAGATAAGGCCAGTAAGAGAAAAACATGGCCCATACCGCTGAGGACCATGTCTCAGGAACTGTAGGCACAGGGGGCCTTACTGCTGGGGAGCCAGCCAAGCCCTCCCCATGGGCTATCAAGGTCTTGCCCTACTCAGCTTGGCCAGTGCTGGCATCCATGGTAACAATACATGATAATAAAAATAAACTAACTAAAATAATAGTAACAATAAAAGCTGACATGGGTTGAGTGCCAGGCACTGTCCAAGTGTTTTATGGGCTTATGGGCTTAATCTCATTTAATTTGGGAGCAGAGGAAACTCTTACTATCCCAGTTTTACAAATGAGGAAATTGAGGCAGAGAGGTAACGTCTCTTGCTTAAGGCCACCCAGCTTCAGTGCTGGTACTGGGATTGAACCTGGCTATGTCAGTCCCCACTGTCATCAGTGAATTTTTAGTGGACGATGGGACCAACTGTTACAGGTGAAACAGAAGCAGAGCTCATCACAGCCAGTGGCCAGGAGGAGGGGGAGGAAGGCTCAGCCCCGGATAAAGTAGGGCTGTGAAGTTGCCAAATAAAATACAAGATTCCTAGTTAGAGTTGAATTTCAGATGAATGATGAATTTTTTTTAGTATATTTAGTATATATATATATATATATTTATATTTATATTCAGTACATTTAGTGTGTCCCCCTGCAATATTTGGTGTAGCAAGAATAATGGCCTCACTGCATCTAACTTTATTCTCATTCCAGGACCAGCTTCTGGTCACCTCATCCAGGCAGCCTTCCCTGATACACCTCCAACCCTCCAGATTTCTTCATGCAATATTTGAGATGTACTTATACTAAGAAATTATTCAATGTTTATCTGAAATTCAAATTTAACTCATCATACTGTATTATTATTTGCCAAAGCTGACAACTCTAGGGGCTCAGACTTAGCAACTCCCATTCTTGTAAAAGCTCTCGTACGGACATCCACTTTCACTCTCCTGTGTAAATACCTAGGAGTAAAATATATGTCACTTGAGAGGGGTATGGTTGTTTTTTTAAAAAACTACTACCAAACAGTTTGAATGACCACAAGATTAGATTCCCTTAATGAGATTTGCTCAACCCCAGATAACTAGCCTTTTCACTCTCCTGTGTAAATACCTAGGAGTAAAATATATGTCACTTGAGAGGGGTATGGTTGTTTTTTTAAAAAACTACTACCAAACTGTTTGAATGACCACAAGATTAGATTCCCTTAATGAGATTTGCTCAACCCCAGATAACTAGCCCAAGCTTGTATCACAGACCAACAAGTTTTTAGATTTTATTTTTGTTCTTACAGAGCAGAGAAGATGTTCGGTTGATACCCTCCAGGTAACAGAGACAACATAGGATCACCATACCAATTTCTGCAAATCAATTGGTCTTAAAATGCCCCACAGCAACACAGGAAAAAAAGAAAACCACTTCAATTGCTTCCTTGACCCTGTGACCGATTCTTTTACAAAGGCTGTTAACAAACAGGCCAGGCTGGAGAAAGCTCACAAGGGCCTGATTGGGCCCTTTTTCTCTTCAAAGCAAGAAATTAAACAACTCCTACTGACTCAGATGGATACCCTTGGCCAAAACTCATTAAATGAATGGGGAAACCCAGTGCTGGGACGACTTCTCATCTTTGGCTTCAAGGTACAGGTCTGGGCTCCTGATGACCCCCAGTCGTGGGGGAAAAGGGTATAAAAGAACATATTGCATGTTCTCCTTCCCATGAAGAGGGGTGTCAGGAAGATGAAGAGTTGACCAGCCCCCCGGATTTAAAGATGGGGGATTTGCATCACCCCCACTCCCCACCCCCTGACACACACACTGGAGAAAGAGACTCTACTACAGTGATTCTCAGCGAGGGGTCCCTAGACCAGTAGCACCAACATTACCGGGGAACTTCTGAGAAATACACCTTCTCAGGCCCCGCCCCAGAGCTCCTGAGTCAGAAACTCTATGGTTTATACCCAGCAATGTATAAATGTGTATGTGTGTGATTGTGAATGCACGCATGTCTGTGTGTGTGTGTGTGTGTGTGTGTTTAGCAGCTTTATTAAGATATAATTGACAAAGGAAAAATCACTCATCTTTAAAATGTACAATTTGTTAAGCTGTGACATATACACCCATGAAACCATCACTGCAATAAAGTCAATGAACATATCCATCACTTCTGAAAGTTCCCATTTGTAATCCTCTCTCCCACTCCTTCTACCCCCTCCCAGTCTCCAGGTGACCAGTGACCTGTTTTCTGTCACTGTCAGTTCAGTTTGCATTTTCCATAATTCTATACATGGAATCACACAGTTCTATTCCCTTTCATCTGGGATTTTCCAGCCAGCGTAATTGTTTTGAGAGCCATCCATGCTCTTGATTATATCAGTAATTCATTCATTTTTTATTGCTGACAGTATTCCATTGTACAGACACACCACAATGTACTACCCACTCACCTGTTGACAGATATTTGGGCAGATTCCAGTTTAGCCTATTATAAATAAAACTGCTAAGAATTTTAATGTAAAAGTTTTTGTAT